CATTACAAAAGGCCCAGGCACTGGAGATGGGAGTAAATCTGGGAGGAAGACTGCAATTCCCCCAAGTAGACCTGACAACCCATACGTGATGTGGTTCTGTGGTCTGATGAGGCAAAGAAGATCATATTGATCATACATACAGTCCAATGGGAAGAAGGATGCCACCAAGACTTTGAAGATATCAAGATCCTTTGCAAAACTGTCAGGAGAATGGGTGGCAGCCATGGCTGTTTCCAATAGATGTTGACGGTAGAGGATTCCTGGCCCAGTAGGTATGGACAAGGTTCACAGCAATTGGACTAAAAGGAAAGGAGAAAAAAAGTAGCAATCCACAGGATGGGGGAGGCAGCAGAAAGAGCCTCTTGTTGGTTATGGAATCAGTGGCGGCTCATGGGTTTTAAAATAGAGGAGGCACACTCATTGTATTGGTCTGGGGATCCCTGCCGATTATTATTATTATTTTCTTGACCACTTTAAAATGGCTTTTTGGTTGCTTTTAGTCAGAAAGTGTAAAGAAAATGACACGCATACAGCAAGATAATATAATTTCACTTACCTGGCCTATCACTTGAAGCAAACATCCATCCCTTCTTAAAAGTCTGTGTTAAAAGAGAGCTGCCTGTTGTGCCATTTAATTAAGCCGACTGCTGTAGCCTATATCCAGCTTAGGCATGTTCTCCCTTTATTTTTAATTTGTATATATACTGTTTGAATGACAGGTTGGTAAATCTGTTGGCGATCAAATATTCAATATCGCTACTCATCATAAGAACTTATCAACGCAGCGGGAGACGTTCAAACTAATATCATGTAATTTACGTCTCTATGATGATTGGTTGATATACCAGAAGGGAGGCCAGCCTCCCCTGCGAAGTTTCTTTTCTCAACACTCCTCAGCGGTGAAAGTGAACACCCAATGGTGATTGGCTAATTTTTTTTTACCTCCCCCTCCCCTTCTCTATCATTTAGCGGTTGTAATTACATCAGCAGATTCTGCATATTTGCGATTGAAAAGCAGCGCTTTCCAACTTCAGTAACATGTTATGGTATTACAGCTGTGAAATTACAAACAAAAAATACACATTCTGAGACAGGAACTGAAATGAACATTAAATCGTCCTCCTCCCATTTTCACCTCAAAATTTTGGGGAAGCTGTGCCTCCCCTACCTCCCCCAATGAGCCGCCACTGTATGGAATAGGAGAGAGAAGCAAAACTGGAATCCAGGAGAAGATGGGCAGAGATTTGGCTGTAATCACTGCCGACCCAACAAGGGTGTTACAGTTCAGGGTCAAAACGCTCAAGGAGTGTTGGACACTGTCTGATGATATCAGCTCCTTCTGGCCAAGGCTACATACATGCAAGGTGAATGTAAGAGAAGCATCTCTCAGATTTAAGTATTCTTGTGAATTTCTGGGCAACCAACGACTTTCTAGGAAGTCTGGATGGTAACCAAGGACGTTTGGTGACAGTGGAAAGACCGAGGATCTCCAAGAAAGATTGATGTAGGTGTATGAGGCCAGCTACCTTATGCACAGCACTCGCAAGAGGGCACAAATCAAGCTACAGCAACCAGTAATGGGCAATGCCCCCAGAGTCTCCCTAGAGGGAGGGAGGATGAGAAGGTCAACAGGACGGACCTAATTTTAACGGCCAGGAATGATTTTTGGACACAGAAATGGCTCACCCAAAAAACATTAATTGGAGAGGTATTGGAAGTAAATTCTCATTGCGGAAAGAACTGTAAGAACACTAAATGACTTACTATACATCAAGTGTAGAAAGAAGGGGCACAGGTGCATGTAACAGCAGCTAAGCAGAAGAGAAAAGAAAATTCGCCACTTGAGGAAAGAAATTAAAGCTCTCAATAAACAGTTTAAAAGAGGCCCTGTCAATGAAAGGGAAGGCATTAAAGATCTGACAGGTCAACTCCGGGAACTTCTCTGCAGGTTTCAGAGGGCATAAAGAACTCGGAAACAGAGGAAGGAGAGGGAGAACAAAAGAGCTCAGTTTGTTAAAGACCCTTTCAGGTTCATCAGATCTCTTTTGGGTGAAGTAAAATCCAGGAGCCTGACTAGCCCTAGAGATGAAGAGCAGTTTCCATTGCGACACATTTAAAAATCAACATCTGGGTGCCAACCCAAACATCCATACATTTAATACATCCAGGAAAAAGCTCAACACAAGCGATATACCATACAAGGCATTCCAGAAGTGGGCGCTGTTCCTTCAGAGGCTGTGGAAACTGCTCAATAGAGTTTGGAAGAAGGGCACCATTCCAACATGCTGGAAGAAAGTGGAGGGCTGCTTTGTGACAAAGGAAGAAAATTCCTCAACCATTAGCCAATTCAGAACAATTTCACTTTTCTCTGTAGAAGAAAAAATATTATTTTCAGTGTTGACTAAAATGATTACCTCCTATATGATAGAGAATGGATACATTGACAACTTTATCCAGAAAGGTGGGATCCCAGGATTCTCTTGGTGTCTGGGGCAACACCGGAGTCCTCAATCAGATGATCCGAGAGGCTAAAGCAAACAAAGGTGACCTGACAGTGGTCTGGTTAGATTTGGCCAATGCATACAGATCAGTCCCTCATGCCCCCATATATGCAGCATTGGACCACTACCATATCCCACTGTCCATCAAGGGAATGATCACCAGCTATTTCAGAGGCATCCAGTCATGGTTCAAAACAGCGCAGTTTACAACCCAGCGGCAAGACCTGGAAAAGGGAATTGTGACTGGATGCACAATCTCCTCTATCCTCTTCATTATGGGAATGAATCTCCTTGTAACAGCTGCTTGGAAAGAGACCTGAGGACCAAGAATGGAATCGGGAATCTGACAACCCTCAATAAGAGGTTTCATGGATGATCTTACCGTAACAACCACAACCTATGTGGAGGCAAGGTGGGTATTGACAGGTCTTGACCATATGGCAACATGGGCCAGAATGAGGATTAAAGGGGTCATCGGATACTAAATTCCCTTTTACATGTTGTTTGAACATAAATGTGTGTTGGCAGTGTGTGTACACATCCACCCTATAATGATAAAAATCCACCCAGTGCTTTTTTTTTTTAAATCCCCAATAATAATGATCACTTTCTCAGATCAGGCTTTTCTGAGATTCTTGGCAGAATGACGTAGTTTTGCACAGGCCCCTCCCACGATTGTTGACTGACATGGCCGTTTAAGCATAGACCCACCCTGAATGAGCGGTGTTTCGATGCCAGAGCAGGAGTAGACAAGAATGTCTCCTAAGCGATTGAGGTGTTTTTTTTGTAGGATGTAATAATGAACATAGCAGTCATCATTTACTCCTGACATCTGAGCCGCTGAAGACGCAGTGGATTACTTTTGTTTTTGAAGGGAATGTGCCCCCAATCTACCTAAATGCATCTATGTCTGCACGGATCATTCACCTACAGAAGCAGTGAGTATACGTTTTTTATGAATCTTTGCAAATCACCTTTCCTTATAATGTGCTAGTTAGCAAGTTCCATGACTAAATGCGGCTAAAGTTTATAGTCTCATGAGAATGGCTCATCACCCCACAGAAGAGAGGGGTGGGGTGAGCAGAGCTCATTAGCATTTAAAGGGACATGCACTGAAATGGCCTGCTGTGAACAGAGCTGTTTTTGACAAGGTAAAAGGGGTGTTGTTTTACACTACCATTGATAAATTTTAACTAAAGTATGTTATAGACTTTTTTAAATTATATGTTTATGGGCTTTTTGTGCCTTTTTATTTTGAGAGGACAGTGGATAGATGACAGGAAAGTATTGGGTGGAGAAAGGGGAGCAGGATCAGCAAAGGACCTCGAGACAGGAATCGAACTCGGGTCGCTGTGAGCCCAGTTGCGCTATATGTCGACGCACTAACCACGAGGCTATCGGCGCCGACTAGACTTTTAATTAAGACCCTAAAGAATCATATCAACTTGTGCATCCGTCCAAAATGGGCATCCGATGACCCCTTTAAGCTAAAGAAATCCTGGTGTATGGTAATCAGGAAATAATATCACCCACACTGAAAAGCATACAGAGGAATGGCTGAGGAGGTTGAAAAATTCTACAGGGAAATTCAAAGTATGGATCCACCAACACGGACTGCTGTCGAGACTTATGTGGCTGTTGACTGTGTATGAGATCCCTATGACAAGTGTGGAGGGAGTGGAGAGGAGGATCAGGTACCTCTGAAGGTGGCTGGGAATTCCCCCATGTTTCACTTCAGTAGGCTTGTACATAAGGTCAGAACAGCTTCAACTACAAACAAATTTGCATAAGTGGGGATTGAGGGTGGATCCACTATGTAAGCTTTGTGAAGAGTGGGGCACCATGGAACACATCTTGTCAGGGTGTAAAACAGCACTTTCCCAAGGATGATAAAGATGGCACCATGAAAAGGTGCTCAGGACACTTACATCTCTCAGATGTAAGTATTCTTCTTATTGGTAGAAATTTAAAGACATTGTTCTAACTGTGTGCTTTAAGGTCGTTTCACATTGAGCTTGATGTGAATCAATGACAAAAGGTACTTTCACACAGAGTGCGAACCGAGCACGGAACTAAAACCTTTGCACCAAAGTTACGCAATCAGTGTGAAAGGGCCTTTAGATTATTCCAATAAGTTCCACAGGGAACAGAGGGGTGGGCCACACTGTTTGCCACCTCTGATGCCAACAGTCAGTCGTAGCACTGGAATGAAAAAGCACCAAATTGCAATCTCCTCCTCATTGGAAATGGATAAATGTACCCTTTCATCAGACACTCCTTGTTCTTTGTCTCCAGCCTGTGCAGTGGGACAATAATGGACACACCATGATCTGAATCTGTGGCCTAAGTAGTGTGAGACAACAGCAGATACAGCACATCCCAAGTAATTAAATTTTTATGAGCATTTTCCACATTTGAGTTCAGTATGTTTTTAAACTGTGATTCCTCATGAGCTGACTCCTTTCAATCATCTTATGTTTTTATATATTTTTCCCTCACCTGTTTCAGCAACCCATGACATTATTCCATGACTGTCAACAAATGAAATGCAGAGAACTGCTGCACAGTGGACAAAGAGGAAGGAATGTACAAAGTACTTGATCATCCTAATCCACAGAAGACTGAAAACACAAAAAAAAACAAGAAAAAAAGGGCAAATGTGACTGTTTTGCAAATGAAAAATGTACTATAATGCAATATTTTAGGAAAATACAAGTAATTAATGTAAATCAGGTTAATGGACAAATATCACTAAAAGACATACTTATTTGTTAATGATTGTTCTTCTCTCCGCATAAACACTAATAGTGAAATAATGCGTGGCAAGTGAGCAATCCGGACATAAATAATCATAGGCAAGAATGTTGCCGGATCTTTTTTCATCTGGTGAAATATTATAAGGCCATATGGAAATGAAAAGACCATATCAAAGACAAATCCCACTTTCCTCTTCATGTAGTTATGGGACGTTGATCTGTATTCTGAAATATAGGTTCCACTATCATCATAATAACAAATGCGAAACTTCAGGATGATCTGAAAGAAATGTGGGAGAATTAAGTTCCATCATCCTTATAGTATCTCAGCTGTAATGCATGTTTGTGTTATGTTAGTGGAATAATCTTAAATTGAATTTAAATCATATATCATCTTTGGCTCACCTCAATTATCTGAAGGAACTCAACAACCATTGTGAGCAAGAATAAATAATAGTCAACATCAAACACAGTGGGCTACAGAGAGAGAAAAAGAGATGATAGCCTTTTTTTATATTTAGTGTTTTTGTCAGTAATTGATGACAATTACAATTAAACATCCTCTGGAGTAAGAACCTGTACAACAGACAGCGTAACTGCATGTAATAATTAGCTTGAAATAAACACAAATTCAAAAAAGTCTGAAGAGTTTTTAATGAACCATTATAGGGCTTTTCACACTGTGCTTACCTAGGGTTATCATTGTTCTAAACTCACTTTTAACCCATGGTTAATACACGTTTCACACTTGTAATTTTACACTTGCTCCGGATCAGGGTTAGCAGTCCTTTTGCAGTGTTACCCTTGCATTGCGGTGCCAAATGTGTGCAGTGTAAATTAATTACAATGTTTTAAAATGTTCTGACTAGTTGCTTAGCAACCGACAGCAAACCAATCGCGTACCTCATATTCACATGTACTGGACAGTCACAAAAACACCGCTTGTTGTATAAAAAGTTGTTTCAGTGTTTGGGGGCAAAAATAGCGAATGGTGACATAAAACACTTCAATCAGACCTTTTATAGTCCGAAAAGTCCATTCAGGAAAAACTTGATAGCAGGGCTCTGAACCAGTTCAAGGAACGAAAACTGGAAACGAACGAAATTTTGACAGGAACAGAACCAGAAACAGAAACTAAATCAAATTTTATAGTTCCGAACAGAATCAAACATTTGAAATGGGCATTAACTGGTTAATAATGTTATTTTATCGTTCCATTTAATATTTGAAATTTGCTGTCAACCAATCACGAATTCCAGTAGTATGGCCTATGCAAATGTGATGCTGACGCATCCAACGAGTGAAATGCCTGCTCAGCTGTGAACTCATCATAGGTAAGTCGCAATGGCAATGCACCGGCGTTAGAGTTTATCCGAGGATAGTGTAAAAAGGATTTAACAAATCACACGCACCTGCAGCGCTTCTGTGAATGGAGAAAACAGAATAAAACTATAGGCTTACATAAAAAGGAATATAGGCATATACACAAAATATATTTCACTTAAAGATCCCCTGAAATGCTTAGAAACACGCAGCGTTACTCTGTGTTGATGTTGAATCGTTCTCCGGCCCCTATATAGTGCACTACGTGCCATTCACTGTACAGAAAATTCTAATTCTGTGGACAAGTGACCGATTTCAGCCGCGGCTTCAGCGTCTATTTTATAGTGTAGGGGGCGGGCACTTCGGATTCTAAAGAGCATTTGATTGGACAGAAAATTTGATGAAAAGCTGAAGTACGATATGATGTCAAAAAAATCGTTGAGCTGTTTTGGCGGAAGTGACGAACTGCAAGCTTTGAATGCTTATATCTTCTAAATGCGAATTTTGTCACTGTTTTGGAGCACAGTGCCTTATAGATAACCTTAAGACTAACATATTGATACTAACACCCAAAAAACTTTAATTTTGATTTCATGGGGGCACTTTAAATCATTGACAGATTAACAAAACGAACGAAAAAAATGTGCTGAGTTACACGGTTAATTGTGACGCATTCCAAAGTTCTCGGAAAGGAAAACGAGACAGCAGAAAGTAGATTTCTTTATTTTGCAAAAGCTTTACAGTTTTGAATAATGTCTTGCTTCTATCTGTATAACCAACCAGCATTGGTATGACCATCGCGCCGGCGCCTCACGCGCACACACAAAATATTTTTGCAACATTGCAGCCTGTTCATTATCAAAATAAAATACAGTTAAAGAAACAAATAAAAAGTTACACTGCTCCGTTGTACAAAATTTGTTGTGTTCAGCGTGAACAGCGCCTCACTGTGTTGATATAGCCGATGTAAGGATGATGTTTTACGTCGAAAAAAAAAAGCCTAGCCTATAATAAATCATATTAAAGCATCCAGATATGTCGCGAATATGGAAACATTTGGATTCGTGCCGAATGAGAGAGGTAGGCATCAGTTTCACCTTAAATTAATTTGTTTTTGGACTGACGTTTTTATAGCCTTAACTTTAGAGGATCTGTTGTGGAGAGAAACTAATAACTGTGTTTATAATGTGTGTAAACATTTTGCTTTAGCCTACCGGCATTTTAGCCTACATTATTTCTGAATGTAATAGGCCTAATAAAATGCGACGTGAGCCTATACACGACTTGTTTTTTTCACTCTCAAAACGCAATCTTATACAAGTAGCGTTTTTTAAACAATGCAGCAAACATTTTTAAATATCTTAAAAATACTTTAATGTCTTTAAAGTGTTGATAGATTTTTTTCCTTTTGTTTAGTTTTTCTTTTGTTTAGTAGCCTACATTTGGACAAAATCTAGAAAAGATGAGGCTGTATTGGCTGTGACTAAGCGCAGCGGGTTATAGGCTATAAAGTTACCTGATCTCTTCCTGTTTTTTTTTCTTTTTCTTTTTGAGTAAGGAAAACGCTGTACTTTATTATTATTATTATTATTATTATTATTATTATAGGCAAAAAAAAATAAAATAACGTTATTAACCGGTATTTCTTCTACCCGAACCAGTTTCGGAACGGTAATAATACAGAGGGACGCAGGAACAGAAACGTTAAAATATCGATTCTACTCGGAGTGAACCGATTGAATTTTTTTTTCGTTTTCAAGCCCTGCTTGATAGTACAGTCAGCAATATAGCCTATTGAGAATGCACAAAGCTAGAGCCTGTAAACAGGTCATGGGTTGCTTTCATCCAATCAATGATACCGACACCACAAAAATGTATATAAGAAAGTTAAAGGGTTAGTTCACCCAAAAATAAAAATTAGCCTGTGTTTTATGTATCTGTCATACACGGAAGCCGTTCCGGCGGATGATGTAAGACGTCGGTGTTGCGTGATTAGTAATGAATGCGGAGAGAGAACAAAACAAAACGCCGGTCACGAATTAGAAGTACAAACCGAGGATTTGTAAAGAAAAATGTCAGAGGATTTTGATATAAACCAAGAGTAGACTGGTTTTCCTTTGCTAAAGTAAGGAAACTTTGCTTCCTTTGCTCCTATAAACAAACTTGCGAGACTAGCACATCTCAGAGGCGCGCGCGCTGCGCATATGTCCTGCGTCATCCGCCGGAACGCTTTCCGTGTATGACAGATACCGGAAGTGAGAGAAATGTGTTTATTACGTTTGAAATATGGATAATTTTCTTAGAAAACGCATGTATTCACTACAGGAGGCCTCTAATCACCCCCCGGAACATTTTATTATGGATTCATGCACTTTATTTGACGACTTGTGGACTGTTCAACTGCAACACCAGCTGACTGCAATAATAGAGCTTGGAATAGCCAGGACAATTTTTAATATAACTCAGACTGAATTCGTCTGAAAGAAGAAAGTCATATACACCTAGGATGCTTCGAGGGTGAGTAAAACACACGCTAATTTTCATTTTTGGGTGAACTAACCCTTTAACCCAGGGTTTAGGAATGTATAGTGTGAAACGTCAGTTCATGAATACCCAGGATTAATTGTTAACTCACAAATTGTTAACTTAATCCTGAACCGTGTGAAATGTGAAGCAAAATATCCCAGGATTCTGTTTACCTGGGTTTAGAATGGCCCTGGGATAACTATTTCAAGTGTGAAAAGCCCTTATGTTTAATACACAGTTAAAAGTTTGTTCATATCCCTAATCCTAAAGGCCTGTTCACACCAAGAATGAAAACTAAAACCTATAACATATATTACACATTTAATATATGTTCTATGAACATAAGTGCAATACATGTGTTAAAGTAGGAATGATTTTGATTGGTTGTCAATGTTTTTATCATTCATCGACTAGAAAAAAAATTCCAACAAGATTGTTTCTCTGTCTTCATCATTTTAAACTTCATATTCATATAGTTCTCAGTGTTAATGAGCCTTAAGAATTAGCAATAGTAATATGTTCAATGACTGAAGTGCAGCTTTGATAGGAAAAAAAATCCCTATCTGTCATATAGTGGCCCCAAAAAGTATTTGGACACTTTTGAACACTTTTGTATTTCACTGTATTACCTCTAACTAAGAGAACTGCTAAAATGCACAAGAGATACCATACACACCATGAATGTTATTGCCCAGAAAAAAACTGTGATCAGCAGACAGGATGTGTACTGATAGATCACTCGAAAATTGTTCTCAGGATCAATGGTTTTGTTGTGCATTCTTCTCATGGTGTTGAAAATCTTCAGGAAGAATTGGATGAGCATGGATGAGATTGATGTGCATAGTCTAATGCCCAAAGAACGAGAACGGAGTTCAGCTCTGTGCACTTCCTCAGCCATGTGTTCCCTATAAAGTTTTACACCTATAAGGACAGAAACACCATATTACATGTTGTGTTCATGAGATGAATGCAGATATAGCAGTCAAGAGAATGCTTCTGCTCCTTTTGCAACTGGCTCTACATGAAATGTCGTAGTATATTTGCTCAAGTTGCTGCCCGTCTCCTAGCTCTAAAGAAATGCTTGTTTTATACTTGCCAAATTATTAGAGACTCTATGATAAATGGAAATGGTAAAGAGTGGTAACCAGTGTGCTTTTAAGATTTCCTGATGAGCAGAGTGCCATTTTTCCAGATTTTACTGTGCACAAGAGCAATTTTCAGCCTACAAAACATTTAAGAGGAGAGCATAACTAAGAAAACTGTACATTTATTACAGAAATTTCCACGCCTTTTCCAATCATTCAGCTTTCCACGAAAAATTCCCTGATATTTTCAAGTTTTCCATGACCATAATGTAAAACAGCTTTAATGTTGGTTGAGGTTATCTAAGCCAAATGATCTAATGAGATTATAAAAGATTAATGCTATGTATTATTTATCATACCTGCAAACTCACAAGAGGTCAAAAAGGTGACATAGTTTGGAATATGACCCTTGTAACGGGGTCTGGGGGCATCCCCCCCAGAAGAAAATTTTTGAGAATTTAATGAAATTCTAAATGAAGCGTTCTGGTGCACTCTGACAACAACATAAAGGAAAAAGACATATGCTTCAAGTAAAAAAAGCACGTTTATACCACAAACATTTTGGACAGTGCAACTCTGTTGTCATCGATGTTCATACTTCTCTTTGTGAGCAGTGGAGTAATTTATTTTTGCAAATTTGAATGTTCACATTAGAGTGTGCATACTATCAACAAACTCCATCTTTTCAATGCAGAGGAAACAGAAGCTGCATCTGAAGTGGCATTAGATGTATTTACACAGACTGTTTAATGAAGCTGAGGTGCCATAAATGCATTTACACCACAAAATTTCAAATGTATAAATAATTTTATAAGATTAATGTTTTAAATATTTTTGAACATACAAGTTAAAAATGTTGGGAAAAATGCAATACTTTTAAATATGAAACCAAACCACCAGTAGATGACGGTAAATGACTGTTTTAATGAGCGAGTCATTAGTCATTCATTCAAACGGCTGATTCATTCAAAAACGAGGCAAGTGACTACTGTCTTTATGGCCCTGTCCCAAATGGAACACTTCATGTGCACTTGCGGTCTTATGGACTTACAATGGCCGCCGCGTGCACGTGTCCGTTAAGTCCATGAGACCGTAGGGTGTCCCATTTGTCATTTTAGTGTTCAGAAGGGTGTTCGCGAGCGCCCCCTTTGCGGCCATTATGCACCCTTGATCTGCACTTCTGCCGAGCCCGCACTGGGGCGAGCTCCGCAGCAGACTTCTACCCGACAGTCAAAGCGGCATTACATCACAAAAGTGCAGACTCAGAGGAAGACCGCGAGGGTTTAGGGTGCTATTTGGAACAGGGCCTATGAATGGGTTACTGAATCATCGACTCGCTTGATACGTTGAAAAACGTTGATTCATTCAGTATCGAAAAACCGCTGTGTTGCTCGGAGACACAAAACAGTTCTGCTGTGGCTTTGATTGAAACTTCGTTGGCGAACTTGAGCAAAAACAGTCAGTATTGTATTACAAATTGCGAACTTTGTGTCTGTTTAAAGGGGTCATATGATGCAATTTCAATTTTTCTTGAGTGTTACAAGCTCTTGGTGCATAAAGAAGATCTGTAAATTTGCAAAGACTAAAGTCTCTAAAGTCTC